TTTAATTTAAATGATTTTTTTGCATAAATTTACATATAAAATTAGGTGAGTCAACTCATTTGATTTATAAATAACAACACTCAGTTGGACATGTTCTATGACTGTTAGAGTTAGTGTTAAGTAAAATTGCAAGAGGATTATTTTTCATTAGTTACATAACAGGGTTACTCTAGTAAAATTTTGAGATATAGTGGGGGTGCAATACATTGCAAATGCAATAAAAAATAAAACCCAAATTAAAATACTTATATTTTGTAATTTACTAAGCTAATTTTAATATTTTAACTACAAGACACTTTTTTACAACTTTTTTTTGAAAAACTCTAAATTCAAAATTTTCAAAAACAATAAAAAATATTTACTATGTTTTGTTACTAAACCTGAACTAAACCAAAACTTTAAATTTAGATTTAGTTTAGTTTATAAATTCAAAGTTCAGTTTAGATTTAGGTTCAAAGATTTGCAAAATTTGTGGTTCAGATTTAGGTTTATTGAACCTGAACCTGAACTGAACTGAACCTAGAAACCCTACTTGCCCTTCTCTAGAACAAGCTTCTCTTAAACTTAATATTTGGTCTACTATGTTATGTAGATCAAATACAGTATACTCTTAATCTTATCCTAACTATTCAAATCTAGGTGAGTCTTGACTACTCTAATAGGTTTAGGTTGCAAATAAATCAGTCTGAGTTTTTATTCTTGATATATATAATTTATATTTATTTGTTATTACACAAATTGAGTTCTTATATACGTAGTTCATCTAGTTTCTATGTAACTACTTATATAAATTATTAAATAAAGATACGAGCAAGACCTCACCTTAATACCAAAAAAAAAAAAACTAAAAACTGTTATATTAATCATTTACTATCTCTACGTAGTTTTTGCAAAGCTTGCATATTTTCTTTATTTAGCGATAAGAAATTTTGAATTGCATTTTGATTTAGTGTTAGTTTTGAATTAATAGCGATAGTTTGGCGCACATGACTAGGTTATCATTAAGGTTTTTATACTACGAATTAAATATAGTTTATTTAATTTGGCTCGATATGTATTTAGTATAAACAATTTTCAGAGATTTTTCAATGACGATAAATGATAAATGCAAGAGTATTATTTTACTAATTCATAACTATTTAATTCGGCCATTGAAATTGTTTTGTCATGAAGACCAATTCTAACCTTTCCCGGCTTTTTTAATGAAACAGCTGGATAAACTTCACGTGGTAAATCCGTGAACGCAACACCATACTTTATACCATTAATTGAAAATGATAACGTTCTATTTCCCATATCTAAATGAACAGTAATACAAGAATTTTTTCCAAACTTTGGACCGTAAATGATCGAATTTTTTAAAGATTTTTCATTATTTGGACCTCTGTTGTGAGCAAGTGAACCGTTCGATCCAAGTGTATAACCATAAATTTCCCCACCTAACCAATTTGAATAATTAACTTCGAATCTTCTTTCAGTACACACACCGATCCAAAAGCATTTACAATCTTCTTCTATTATAATATCCCATTCATATAAATCACGACCTCGAATTGGTAAAGTTGTTCTGGCGAATTCTGATTTCTTTGATCGACTTATAAGAACTGTATTATTCTCCAAAACAAAAATATTTGGTCCATGGGCATATTGATCCCATTGAAATTTAAGATTTCCAGGTTTTGCGGTAACAACTCCTCTATTTCTTTTAGGACCTACTCCAGGAGGTAATTTTGTTTGATATCTAAACGCATCTATTAAAATTTCCGAAGGAACAAAATCCAATGGTTCAATAATATTTGCTAATATTGACGGATGAATTAATTTGAAATCGACACATTTTAATAAAGGTGATACTAATGGAAAGATTGATTCATAAAGTTCTTTACTTTTGTAATGATTTATTTCATGAGCTCTACGTAATCTATCTAATTGTAAGACATCAAGGTGTTCTGCTTGATCAGATGTTGGTAAAAGGGACTCGAAATGAGTAACAACATCTTTAGAAATTTTATTAGCTGCCCATAATAATATATATCGAAATACACCGTATTCAGAGGTTGCAAATTCTTCATCTTCTATCCCTTTTGGTGATAATATAAATTGTAAACCCTCCTGATTAAGAATTCCAAAATTTACTGTTTCTAATGGAGTAACTATCAAACATTTATGAAGTGTTCGATATAATATGTCATCTTTTGAAGGTGACATAAATTCCGTTGCTTGTGTTAAAAATTTTGCGGCAAGAGTGTTGTCCGCACTACATTTTAATGCGTTGTCCAAAAATGAAATTACTATATCTTCAAGCTGAGGAAGTAGAAAATATTCTGCACCAAAATATGCCTCTACTACATTGTTAAGTGTTAATGTTTCCATCGTAATGTTTCCCATATATAAATATTCTAGAATCATTAATATTGTTTTTGAATTAAATTCTGGGAATGAAATATTATCTTCATTCTTTGTTGCATTTTTATCGTTATTAGATTTTAAAAACATATTAGCAAATATATCAGAGCGGGCTGCCAAAAGTAATTTACTACCGTATAATACACCTCCATCTTTACAAGTAATAATGATATCGCTATATACAGGATTATTGAACATTACCCTCAAGTCTGAACCTAAGAATTCTCCACGTGCCTGCAGCGTGTTTCTTGATTGCCGAAATTCGGATTGATTTTGAGATATGCATTGACCCATTGTTTTAAAAGAAGTATAGTATTTAAAAGGCAAAGAATATAAAGAAAAGTATAATTAAAAAGAAGCTTTGATATAATAAGTTCCTAGAATATTTTAAAAACAAAAAACTAACTTAGTATGATATGTATAGTTTTTGTAATTATGATCATCAAATATATCTAGCAGTTATAAAACATGTCCACATATAAGGGCTTAGAATATTGTTACTTATAAATCAAATGAGTTGACTCATCTAATTTTATATATAAATTTATGCAAAAAAAATTATTTAAATTAAATTTATTTAAAAACATGTATAT